CCCCAAAACCCCAAAACCCCAAAACCCCAAAACCCCTTGGGCTCAGAAAAGTAATGAATAATAATAATAAATGAGCATGGAAGAAGATCAGCAGAGGATCAGCGAATTAGGAGGAGATAGTGACTACGAGACTTCCTCCACAGTTCAATATGGAACTATCCAACCCCCACAGATTGACAGAGAGACCACGGAATATAAGTAAGTAGCATTTTGAAGGACCCTTGACAATCCTGGCACTATGGTCAACAATTAATTGGTGTATAGGATAGTCAACAGTGTGGATGAAGCCCTGGACGAAGTCCAGGGATCAAACCTGTTCTTCTACCTATGGCCTATTCTGATAAACATAGGCCATGTGTTGAATATTGGGACTATGATACCCTTCTTGCTAAGAGTCCCTGATATACAGTGTAAGACGAGGGTTAATCCTGACTGGCACTCCTGTGAGAGAGATTTTGTGTGTGATAATAGAGATACAATTCAGTACCAATTTCAAGATAATAACTTCCAAAAATCAAATGATCTCAATAACTGGATCACCCATCTTGATTTGTTGTGTGTCTCAGAGTTCACAAAAAGCCTCTTTGGCGCCTTGTTCTTCGTTGGAGCAGTGATCGCCACTGTTACTGTGCTGAGATTAGGCGACATCTATGGTAGAAAACCAGTCCTTATAATCTGCAATATAGGATGTGGGGTAATCTTTATCACCCTCTACTTCGTAGATAACTTAGTGCTGGCTTACTTATTGGTGATTCCTATAGGTATGTTCGGGCTCGCAAAGGGGGCCCTGACATACCTTCAAATGCTTGAATTAGTACCCTCACGTTTAAACAGTGTCTTACATACTTTTGGAGGCCTAGTTGCATCATTGTTCACTTTCTCTGCTACAGCTTTCTTCTATTTTGTACCAAATGCAAGATTGTTCTTAATAATCTTGGGAATAATGTGCTTAATCCACTTGATTCCAGTTATCAAGGCACCAGAATCTCCGAAGTTCTTGTACACTCAAAAAAGATGGAATGAACTGAGAGAAGCCATAAACTCCATTGCTTATACCAACGGAGTCAAAATGAAAGAGATCAAGTTCACAAGTGAACTTTGCTACGATGAGCAAGAAGAAACTGAGGTTATCAGCATGAGAGAGGCCATCAAAGATAAGGTTTACTTCAAGAATCTTCTTATAATGACTCTAAACTGGAGTGTCTGCTCTGTCTGTTTTTATGTTATCAGTTATTACTCCAATGATTTCCCAGGAAGCATGTTCGTCAATGTGCTCTGAATGCAAATTGCAGATTTCTTCTCTGGACTTTGTAGTTATATTTATGTCAAGAATATCAGTTTGAATCACGGTTTCAGCTCAACCTTCATTATCGTATTTGCAGTGACAATAATTTACAGTTGATTCTCTTACCTCCAAGGAATTGAATATTTATGAGTGTTCGCCATGAGATTTGGAATAGGACTTACCTTCTCCTTATGTTATTTCGGGAGCTCAAATATCTTCGATGTGCAGATAAAATCAAGGAGTTTCTCTGTCCACAACTTCTTTGCCAGATTTTTCACCATAGGTTCCCCAGTGATCGCTCAGATTATCCCCAAACCAGTCATTGTGATCTCTGTGCTAACTCTAGTCTCTGCGCTAGCTTCTCAATTTATTGAGAAGCAGCATGAAATAACTAAAAAAGATTTCCATAAGGATAATTTTAAAGAAGATAAGGAAATAAGATAATTTCAAATATAATGTTATACCAGGGGTTTTGGGGTTTTGGGGTTTTGGGGTTTTGGGG